TCGAACTCTCTGCCTTTTTGCAGAGAGGAACCCAGACGAGGCTATGCCGAAAAGCAGAGTCTTGTTCGGGGAGATAGACAGACTGGGCCCCGTGTATGCGGGGTCTACTGGAAATTTTTGCACGAGCCTACGGGCTTGGTTTTGCCCCACAGAAAAATTGGCCTTTTGCCGTATCCTGCATCGTTGGGAGGTTGGGTAAATACTGCCGTTGGACACTCACTGTGAAATTCACTTGACTCCATTCTAGCAGTTGACTACTTCTACGCGCCGCTGGCGAATTTTATATATGTTGTCCTTGTTCTGAGTATTATCTTTCATTACGAACCTTCTTTGATTTTATCTGTATAGTTTTCATCTCAGAGAAGTTACACTATTAGAAACGTTTGCAACGAATGCCAAACATTTGTGCTGCGGTAATCAAGGCTAAAGGAGGATATTTTACGAGAGCAAAATTTGATAATAAAATGATTTTTTTTTCTTTCTGTCATAATAAAATTTCTAATAAAAAAAATCATGGCTCGCGTTCTTTAACCATGTCTAATAATTGTCTTGTATTTAGAGTAGAAAATAATAACTTTGGGGGCCATTATAAAAGATTACCAGAAATTTCCTTAAAATTTTGAACTGTTGTGTATGTATATATATATATATATATATATATATATATATATATATATATATATATATATATACCCAGATATCTACGTATATTTCTGTATTGACCAATGCATGCACTTATATACGAACTGAGCGGCTGGGCACTCTTTCGTCAAAAACAACAGTATACACACACACACACACACACACACACACACACACATATATATATATATATATATATATATATATATATATATATATATATATATATGCTAGAGTTCAAAAGTTTGAAGCGACTACCAGAATTAGCATTTAAAGTACAAAGCAACAACTTTACTACTTTTTGGGCAAATTTAATAAATTACCACAAGTGGACTTTTAAACTGTAGTATATATATATATATATATATATATATATATATATATATATAAGAGAAACAATAGTAAGATCTATTATCTAGTGTCCTTATTTATTTTTCTTTTTAAAAAACATTGCACAATACAAATCTTTGTCTTTTTTTCTAGTCCCGTCGCTGGTGATCATGCCAGAATTTTGTTTGACTTATTTAGAAATTTCTGAGATCAATTTGTTTGTTTTTTTCGCTGGTCGATATATATATATATATATATATATATATATACAACATGTCTATATTTCTGAGATGAGGTATTATGTACATTATTTACATTATTCGGACTATTCTCGCCATATTTATTACAACGTTTCGACCGTTGTACGCTCCGGCCTTCTTCAGGTGGTTGGAATATCGAACTGAACCCTTTATTTCGCTCACTGGGGTAGACTGTTCTAGTTCCACGTGCCATGATTTAATGGATGTCAGTTATCAGTTATCTCCTTTTAATATTCCCTCTGAAAGTTCTCCACTGCCTTAACACATGGCACAGCGTATAAAGGCGTTAGTTAGATCCCGTGACAGAACCCAAAGTGTGTGAGTTCAATACCCGGTTAAGGCAGCGGAGAACTTTCAGAGGGAAACGTTGTAATAAATACGGCGACTAAGATCAGGACGGAAGTCCGAATAATGTATATACAGCCATCGTTTCACATAATTTTTATGTCTAGTTTATTCTTTATTGTGTAATTACCTCCTGTAAAATTGTTTAGTGGTTTTGTTTATATTAATATTAATTACATTATTGTCTGGATTTTGCAAAGTTAATTTATTTATCTATTATATGGTTTATCGGAATTATCGTCAACGTTTCTTCTATAAGTTTAGTGCCTTATAGAATATTTTTATTCTATTATAAAATATTTATATTCTATTATGTTTTTATTGAGTTATTTGGCTTTCACTAATGTTGTATCTCTTTAGCCAATCGCCTTTGTAGTCGGCATGATTTCGAGTTTGTATTTTTTTTCATAAACGGGATTTTCAGCTATCATTTTTTGAATCGATTCTAATAATGTAATTCACTACTTGATGTGAAGGGTAGAGGGGGAAGAGGCCAATTTCAAAGACCGCAAAAACTATCTTAGAGTCTTGAATTTCTTCGGTGCTTTTAGTAATATATATTAAGTGAAGTCATAAGTAAGTTCCGTTTTTGGAACCAATTGTGACGAAGAATTTTACTCTTAAAAAAAAAAAAAAAAAAACTCGAATTAACTAAAACTGAAATATACATCGGCATGACACGTGCAAATAAAACAATTTACCCCCCATAGGTTAAGTAAAGGTTTCGGTTTGAAATTCCAAAGAATATCATCTGAAGAACGCCGGAGCCTACAACGGCCGAAACGTCTTCAATATGACAGTAAACACGAGAACAGTCCGAATAATGTAAAGATTTAAAATGGCAAAAACATAGATAGATGGTGTATATATATATATATATATATATATATATATATATATAAATATATATTCAGATACATTGTTTTACAGAGAATTAAGACATATAAAACATTTATCAAAAATATTGATAAAGAAATGTGATTATCTTTTAAAAAATTATTTTAAATATATATATATATATATATATATATATATATATATATATTTTGTGTATTTAAGCAGCAATCCTTCTTTTATGCATATTTCCTTTAATACGACAAACAAAGTGCTTTTATTTAGTTTTTTATACAGTTTATCATGCTATCTAATAATAAGATATTGTGTCCATGTGCAAAGTTAATATCATTAAGTGTTGTTTTTTTTTGTTTTTATTAATAAAGCTTCCATTATTTTTAGCCATTTTGCATGTTGATGATACTATTATATTAGTGTTGTCAACAAGTATGTTACGAATAGTGTCGAGTAGGTCTCCATGAATATTTAAATGAAATCTAATTGAGCTATCGTCAGAAATGTGTAGAGTGAGTCTGCGTGTCAAACATGTTGTAGTGTGGCCTGTATAATTATTTACGATTTTTGATTGATCAGGAATACAATTCCTTAATGGGCATTTAGATTCGTAAATAATATTTTGACCGTGTTTTGAAAAATGAAAAAAATTTATAAAACATACATGCATACAACAAATTATACATATATATATATTACACACATATATATCACACACACATATATATATATATATATATATATATATATATATATATATTCATATATATATACACACTTCTATATATATACATATATATGTATGTGTCTATATATTACACCTGCACATACACACGCGTGTATATATATATATATTACATATATATTACACACACATATATATATATATATATATATATATACACACATATATATTACATATATATCTATATCTATAGTACACAAATATATATAATTCACACGCACATGCATATTACATATATGTATTGCACACACACATATATATATATTACATATATATATGTATATATATATTACACACACACACACACAAACACACACACACACACACACACATATATATATATATATATATATATATATATATATATATATATATATATAACGTATATTGAAGTCAACATTAGAGGCGACAGGCTGTTTTATGTTAGAAAAATCGTCAGGCCACGAGTGTTTTTTCTCGGCTATACCCACAATGCACCACTGACCCGTATATATAAATAGCCGAGAAAAAACAATACTTGTGGCCTGACGATTGCGTCCAGCATGAAACAGACTGTCGCTTCTGAGTGTTGACTTCAATGTTCCCTTTTATATTTATACACGCTCTATCTCTGATATTGTACACTTTATCCCAGAAATATAGCACACTTTAAGACTCTATTTCTTCATATATATATATATATATATATATATATATATATATATATATATATATATATATATTGATTAGAAAAGAACCGACAAGTTCAGTCTGTTTTGTTTTTTTACTATATTTTTCCAATTTTTCCAGTATTGTGCTCGATAAACTGTTAATTTTTATTTTTTATTTTTGTTTAAGTACATTCGACTTTCGCAGTCATTATCAAGAACTTATGTCTGTGTTGTCATTAGAATTCCTTTCTCTGCATCCTTGTGGTATTGTTTAAGGAACTGGACACTAAACAATAATCAATTAATTAATAAAATAAAATAACATAAACAAGTAAATGGCATTCTTTTTTGCGCGGCCTCGTTCCCATGACGTCACGCTAGACCATTTGAAATGTTCAGCTTACCAAACAATTTGACGAAAAAACTCAATACTTAACCAAAATTTTGAACGTTTTGAAAAAGACAAAAAATATAATTTAATAATAAAACAATCCTTTGGTCTTTCCTCTTTATATTAACAAAGATTCTGACGATAAAACTTTGTTTAGATTAAGGTTGGCGCATGTTTTCATCACTGGGCGAGTCATTCGTGGTATCTATCTATCTATCTATATATATATATATATATATATATATATATATAACGAAATGGATTAATTCCGACAGTTATTTAATATATTTTCTGTTTATACGTTATATTTATAGATATAATTAATTTAAGTAAATGATCTGTTTGTTTGTTTTTTTTTTATTAATTAAACAGTATTAATTACATTTACCGGCCTGAATCAAATAGCGGTTACTGGTTCGATTCCTGTAGCATATTGTCTACGAAATTTCTCGAACATTCAGACCGGTAAATATAATTAATATTGTTTAATTATAAGACAGATCATTTACTTATATGAATTAATTATATTTACATGCCTGAATGTTCGAGAAATCAGTGTAATGTGGCATATTAAGACAACAGAGTTACCTTTTCTTATTGATGCTTTGAGAATGATACATGTTCATATATGTCTGTCTGTCTGTCTATCTATTTATCTATCTGTTCTTATTTCTTTCTTTCTTTCTTTCTTTCTGTTGTTCTTTACTTTTTTCTTTCTATCTATCTGAGTCAGTCCATAATTATGAACTAGATGAATATTAAAACGACAATCGTCTGTGTGAAAAGATTTAGATAGATAGACAGTTGAACACACTGGGACAGTGAGAAAGACAGATAGGGACAAAATGAGGTAGACTGACAATCTGACTGATAGATAGATAGATAGATAGATAGATAGATAGATAGATAGATAGATAGAAATGAAGTGACTGAGATAGAGGGATAGATATGAATAGATAGATATGAATAGATAGATAGATAGATAGATAGATAGATAGATAGATAGATATGAAGTGACTGAGATATATAGATAGATTTGAAGAGATAGATAGATAGATATGAATAGACTGATAGATAGAAATGAAGTGACTGAGATAGATAGATAGATAGATAGATAGATAGATAGATAGATAGATAGATAGATAGATAGATATGAAGTGACTGAGATATATAGATATGAATAGATAGATAGATAGATAGATAGATATGAATAGACTGATAGATAGAAATGAAGTGACTGAGATAGATAGATAGATATATAGATAGATAGATATGAATAGAGTGATAGATAGATAGTTAGAAATGAAGTGACTGAGATAGATAGATAGATAGATAGATAGATAGATAGATAGATATGAATAGACTGATAGATAGAAATGAAGTGACTGAGATAGATAGATAGATATGAATAGATAGATAGATAGATAGATAGAAATGAAGTGACTGAGATAGAGAGATAGAGAGATATGAATAGATAGATATGAATAGACTGATAGACAGATAGGTAGATAGATAGATATGAATAGACTGATAGCCAGACAGATAGACAGATAGATAGATATGAATAGATAGATAGATAGATAGATAGATAGATAGATAGTCTCGTTCGATTTCCGAGTGGTCGGTGAACTGCGACCTTTAAATGATAACAGAGGCGCCAAACATCTGGAATAAACCGTTTTAAAATAAAGAGAGAAACATGTAAAGAAAGATGACTCTGTAGATGAAGAACGGCCTGACGCCTCATTGGCTAACCCATAATATGCAAATTTTACTGCGATCACATGCAGCATGAAAGGAACCGAGTTCTTCCATCTTTTGCCGTTTCCCGTCATTTTATGTGTTTGATGGTCAGGGTGAATATCTTCGAGTTTTTCTGTGATTCCCATTTTAATAATAGTATTCGTTCTTCCCCGAATGTGAGCAATATCTTACTGCAAATTCTTCAGTTAAAAAGCAACGGACATGACCGTTTAAAATCTGTTATATTCACTGGGAAGTGACTTCAATATGGGAGATGTTTGTGTTTGTAGATATTAGCTGTAAACCTGAATCAACACTGTATAGGGATTGTCAAGTTCAAACTTTTCATACTTCACAACTGTAAGACGTTTAACAAATAACCCCCTGCAGTGTTTATTTATCAGGGGCACGCTGTCTAGTTAGGCAAGGTAGGGAGTGTCAACCATTAATAAAATAGATCAGCTGCTACATTTTCCTTCCGTGGCATACACCCAATATAACGAAATTATGAACTTTACACTGACTATTATGCATAAAATGCAAAATATTTTTTGTTTTGTAGATTTATTACATAAAGGTCACACATTTCTTTCTTTTTATGTGCCATGTCCTTTCAGGATGTAGGCGATCATGGCTCTCCACCTCCTTCTCTTGCAGCTCTCAAAAAAGTTCCTTCCCTCTGCTTCCTCCCCAGACCACGTTCTGTCATCCACTTGATTTAAGCCCGCTAGGTATGTCATGCGTTGTTTTCCCTTGTCTCTCTTTCCCTTCATTCAACCCGTGAATATCAGTTTCTCCAGGCCCTCCTTCCTCATTATGTGTACCAGAATCTGCGTCTTCCTGATGTTAAGTATAAAGTCCTCGTGTTTGCGTCCTCTCTAAGACCTCATCTTTGCTCACACGCTCGGTCCATGATATCTTTAGCATCCTTCTGTAGGACCACATCTCCGTCGCCTCAAGTCTCTTCTTCATCTTTGAGGATATCGTCCAACATTCGCTGCCCTAAAGAAGGACAGATGTCACGTAAGACCTCAGTATTCTTTTCTTTGTTACCAAAGAAATCCTGTCTCGCAATACTCTGCTCAGCTTTTAGAATATGCAGTTTTTACATACATATATATATATATATATATATATATATATATATATATATATATATATATATATATGCTATAGATTAAATAGCATGGTAACTAGTCTAAGAGAAGAAAACTCTGATTTCTAAGCCGTGAAGAAGCAACAGGGAAACCACACCCCTGTGTTTGCCAAAATAAAGCAGAATAATTCAAAGATAATAAAAGAAAAGGAGTCTATGAAGAGACATGTTGACATGGCATAACTAGAAGTCCAGATATATGGAACATTTTTTTTTATTTCAATGGCAACATTTACAAAAATATATCGGGGACTGAGATAAGTACATAAGTTCCTTCGACTGATGCTAATTTAGTCATGGAATGACTAGAAGTCCAGATATATGGACAATCCAAATTAAAATACGGTTTGAACTTATTCAAATATTTGCTAGACAACTGAAAACATTACTTGGATGACAGCCCTATTTTATGAGCTCAGTGAATTCAAGACACTAATTAACATAACAACATCAATAATAATACATAGTTCACAATGGATTCAAGACCAACTTCCATTCTTGGATTTTCATTGAAACTGACATTCCACACGAAACAACAGATTCTAAACAATACGTACTATTCACCTGAATCTGTCGAAAACACACGACGACGAACATACCTCTGATTCTGTTGTAGCTTACCTACGGACGATAATAGGTATGCCCCAATTCACATAAATACAGTAGTAAATACTGTATGTTGGTATGCAGTGTGCAGCTCAAAGTCTCTGTCACTGGGCAGAGACGATCCCCAGACGAGGCTATGTCAAAGAGCCGAGTCTCTTCTCGTGAAACAGCTACCAGACCCCGTTTTATATGATGTCTACGGGGATTTTTTTGACCGAGCCTATGGGATCGGATACCCCACAGTAAATTCGGACTTGTGCCACATCTGACCGCGTGACGCGGTTTTATAGATACACTGCAATTGGAGATTGATTGTGGAATTCACTTGACTCATTTCTAGCAGTTGACTACTACTTTTACGCGCCGCTGGCAAATCTTATATGTGTTGTTCTTGTACTAAATATTATCCTTCATTACCAAACTTCGTGTGTGTGTATGGGGGGGTATATAAATATAGTAAACATAATATTATTTTAAAATTTATTTAAAGTTTATCGTTATTTAAGTGTTTTGACGTTTCTAATATTTTAACGACCGACGTAAACTTGAGTAAAACGACGTAAGTCGAGTTTTATTTTCCCATATAATATTTAGGAAAAACTGGAGTATATTCGAAATTGACGTAACTCGAAACGACTTAAGCCGAGGTATCACAGTACTAGTAAATAAAATATGCAAACCTTGAAACTGACATCAGCCCAGAATTAAGAGATTCTAAACAATTCATACTATTTACGTCAAGCCACCCAAAACACTCGAAGACGAATATTCTATTTCATCTAACAAAAATAATTTTCGCAATAGATCCAAATTATGAAACGCGAAATAAAAGACTCCAAGAATTAAAATAAATTCTACCCGAAAGAGAGAACACATCGTTATTTTAATAGATAATGGAACAGAATGTGCCAAAGCCATAGATATTCAAGAATAACGAAGAACAGCAAAAATCTCCAGGTCTAATCCCCAGCCATATCCTAACACACACCCCAAGAAATACAGAAGCACACAACATTATCCACAAGAACATCCCACTACTGAGACAAGACCTCAGAATGAAAAAAGCACTCGAAACACATAACAAAATGAAAAGCAAAAGGTAAGCAAAACCCCTTAAATATCACGGTCTCTAGTAATGATGCCGACAAAGACCTGTATATGCACAAAAGCTGAGTATTATTTACCATGTATTCAATTGTGAAAGCAGAATAACATACATTTTTATTACTTCAAAGCTCTCAAGAAAATTGAATTTCGGCATTAAATGACACATAAAGAGTCGATAAGTCGTTAAGTAAACAAAGACAATTGTCTGAAATTATGAAACATGGAATAAAAGACTTCAAGAATTAAAAGAAAAAAAAAGGCGAAAGAGAGAACACATCGTTATTTTAATAGATAATGGAATAGAATATGACAAAGCCATAGATATTCAAGAATGACGAAGAACAGTAAAAATCTCCAGGTCCGACCAATATTTTATGCTATATCCTAACATACAACCCAAGAACTACAGTAGCACACAATATTATCCACAAGAACATCCCATTATTGACGCAAGACCTCAGAATGAAGAGAAAAAAACGCTTGAAACACATAAAATCAAAAGCAAATCAACAAAAACCCGTCTATATTTCTGAGATAAGGTATTTTGTACATTTTTTACATTATTTAGACTATTGTCCTCATCTTTGTCACCATTTTTATTACAACGTTTCGGCCTTTGAACGCTCCTGCCTTCTTCAGGACACATGACACAGTAGATAAAGGTGTTGGTTAGATCCAGTGACAGGACCCAAAGAGTGTGAGTTCAATACCCTGTTAAGACGGTGGAGAACTTGGAGAGGGAAATTGACAGGCGATAACTGATAACCGACATCCATTAAAACATGACACGTGGAACTAGAACAGTCTACCCCGGTGAACGAAATAAAGGGTTCAGTTCGACATTCCAACCACCTGAACATGGCCGGAGCGGACAACGGCCGAAACGTTGTAATAAATATGGTGACAAAGATGAGGACAATAGTCCGAATAATGTAAATAAGTGTTATGTAGTGTACGAAAAGTTTTTTCTTCCTCCGTATGAGTTCGAATCCTTGGTCGCCAAGTGTTGTATATGGCGAACGAATTTTTTTTTCCTCCGTATGAATCCGAATACTTTCGTCGCCAAGTGTTGTATATGGCGAACGAATTTTTTTTCCTCCGTATGAATCCGAATACGTTCGTCGCCAAGTTTTGTATATGGCGAACGAATTTTTTCCTCCGTATGAATCCGAATACGTTCGTCGCCAAGTTTTGTATATGGCGAACGAATTTTTTCCTCCGTATGAATCCGTTGTCGCCAAGTGTTGTATATGGCGAACGAATTTTTTCCTCCGTATGAATCCGAATACGTTCGTCGCCAAGTGTTGTATATGGCGAACGAATTTTTTTTCCTCCGTATGAATCCGAATACGTTCGTCGCCAAGTGTTGTATATGGCGAACGAATTTTTTTTCCTCCGTATGAATCCGAATACGTTCGTCGCCAAGTGTTGTATATGGCGAACGAATTTTTTTCCTCCGTATGAATCCGAATACTTTTCGTCGCCAAGTGTTGTATATGGCGAACGAATTTTTTCCTCCGTATGAATCCGAATACGTTCGTCGCCAAGTGTTGTATATGGCGAACGAATTTTTTCCTCCGTATGAATCCGAATACGTTCGTCGCCAGAAGTGTTGTATATGGCGAACGAATTTTTTCCTCCGTATGAATCGAATACGTTCGTCGCCAAGTGTTGTATATGGCGAACGAATTTTTCCTCCGTATGAATCCGAATACGTTCGTCGCCAAGTGTTGTATATGGCGAACGAATTTTTTTTCCTCCGTATGAATCCGAATACGTTCGTCGCCAAGTGTTGTATATGGCGAACGAATTTTTTTCCTCCGTATGAATCCGAATACGTTCGTCGCCAAGTTTTGTATATGGCGAACGAATTTTTTTCCTCCGTATGAATCCGAATACGTTCGTCGCCAAGTGTTGTATATGGCGAACGAATTTTTTTTCCCTCCGTATGAGTTCGAATCCTGGTCGCCAAATTGTTATGTAGTACCAAAGGTTTTTCTTCCTCCGTATGAGTTCGAATCCCTCGTCGTCAAGTTGTTATGTAGCGGTTTCACATTGGAGGCTTGTATTTGTACTAAGTCGATCCTAAAATAGGTTCGACGTACAAAACGTTAGGAACTTGATATAATAGGTAATGACGCAGAGAAATCTAGTTGTGGTCGCTGATACTTTAGTATCCGACTAACGGTCGTCCGACATCGACTGAATAACAGACTCACTGCCGACTCCCTGAGTGACTGCTACTACTACTCCTACTTATTATAGGTGGGAGAGTCTATTAACTATAGAATAGGTGTGTTCCATTATAACAATAAGGTAAAACCAAAACCCCTTAAATTCATGGTCTCTAGTAATGATGTCAACAAAAACCTGTATATGCACAAAATCTGAGTATTCTTTACCATGTATTCAATTGTGAAATTAGAATAACATACATTTGTATTACTTCAAATCTCAAAAGAAAATTAAATTTCGGCATCAAATGACGCATAAAGAGTCGATACGCCGTTAAGTAATTGTCTGAAATTATGAAACATGGAATAAAAGACTTCAAGAATTAAGAGAAAATCTACACGAAAGAGAGAACCCATTGTTATTAATAGATAATGGAATAGAACGTGTCAAAGCCATAGATATTCAAGACTGACGATGAAGAGTAAAAATCTCAAGGTCCGACCAATATTTTAAGTTATATATTAATACACAATCCAAGAAATACAGTAGCACACAATATTATCTACAAGAACATCCCACTACTTAAACAAGACCTCAGAATGACAAAAGCATTCGAAATAGATAGCATAATCAAAAGCAAAGAACTAACAAAACCTCTTAAAAAAATACTCATCAGTGCCAAATTACCTAACAGCAACTGTCAAAAATTGTGGTCGCTCGAATTGCGAGACTAGCATTTATCTCATTAACGACACAATAATAAATTTAAATTACGAGAAATATACACTGTTTACATTATTCGGACTATTTTCGCCATCTTTGTCGCCATTTTTATTATACCGTTTCGTCCGTTGTACGCTCCGGCCTTCTTCAGGTGGTTGGAATGTCGAACTGAAACCTTTATTTCGCTCACTGGGGTAGACTGTTCTAGTTCCACGTGCCATGTTTTAAAGGAAGTTAATTTGTCAGTTATCTCCTGTTAATTCCCCTCTCCAAGTTCTCCACTGCCTTAACCGGGTATTGAACTCACATTCTTTGGGTCCTGTCACTGGATCTAACTAACGCCTTTATCCACTGTGCCATGTGTCAGTGAGCGAAATAAAGGGTTCAGTTCGACATTCCAACCACCTGAAGAAGGCCAGAATACAACGGGCGAAACGTTGTAATAAATATGGCGACAAAGATGAGGACAATAGTCCGAATAAATGTAAATAGTGTACATAATACATCATCTCAGAAATATAGACAAATACTGAAGAGCGGAAACGTTGTAATAAATATGGCGACAAAGATGAGGACAATAGTCCGAATAAATGTAAATAGTGTACATAATACCTCATCTCAGAAATATAGACAGATACTGAAAGGCCGAAACGTTGTAATAAATATGGTGACAAAGATGAGGACAATGGTCCGAATAATGTAAATAGTGTACATAATACCTCATCTCAGAAATATAGACAGATACTGAAAGGCCGAAACGTTGTAATAAATATGGTGACAAAGATGAGAACAATTGTCCAAATAAATATAAATAGTGTGCATAATACTTCATCTCAGAAATATAGACGGATAAAGGAGAAATATTTTTTGTAAGAAAACATTTCATTTGTTCATGATCAAATCTGTCAGATGCTAACAAATGTAACACTTATAACGTCAGGAAAGCCTCGGTCACCCTCAGAAAATGAACAGCTATTCACCACCAACAACATAAGAGACCCCACCAAAAGACAGATCCCACTCCTGAAAAATTGTTTCAAGAGAAATATTTTATAAATTTCAACCGACAATAATAATTCTCTACTCGCTCAATAAATACCAAATGTTTCCTTATAAAGAAACGGCTAATATTGTCATTAGCATTTCATTCATTTATATTACTAATCTTCTACTGTTTCGGATTTAACATTACTTGAAACAGGTTTTTATTGGTTGTAAAATATCTTGTTTTATCTTTACCATAATTTTCCATTCTCGCCCTTCTTTAATGATGGGCATCGCCATTTCTATTCCATTCATAACTGCAAAGACTTATCGCCATTATATTAATTTAGTGTTCTTGAAAGGTTTGGGGGATCTATTTGGCAAGGTGGGCAACAATAAGCTTTACAGAATGGGAAGACTGATGATTTAGCATTGATCTGCACCTCATCTTAAAACAAAAGTCGAAGAACTTAAAATATGTCACTGAATATATATTAAAACTATAAACGCTTAAAGAATATAATTTTTTTATTGCTTGCATAGAAAGTCGTTTCAGGCTGTTTTGCATCTGCAAAATTTTGGTAACTTGGACATTAGAAATTGTCCGAATTCGTCCGCTGGTCTTGGGAAGGTTGGGGGTTAAAATTAATATTCAGAATTGTCGATTTAGGAAAATGGAACTCTGGGAAAAAAAAAATATCTCAATAAAAAAAAATTGTTCGAGATGATCGCGTAAGTTGTGAAGCGGTCGGCTTTATGGAAATCGGTAACAATGGCAGTAAAAAGAACTTTCAAAAGAATGTTATTCAACCGAAACCTCAATTACTTTCTTTCTTTCTTTTTTTCTTTCTTTCTTTCTTTCTTTCTTTTATAGCGTCCGCTTTTTGTTTTCTTTTTTTTATTTTAAGTTCTTTCTTTTCTTTTTTTTTGCATTCATTCTCTTTCCTACCGCTAAAAATTTTTCTTTCCGTTTTTCCATTTTACTTACACCAAAAGGCATATTTCTTTCTTTCTTTCTTTCTGTTTGTTTTCTTTCTTTCTTTCTTTCTTTCTTTCTTTCTTTCTTTCTTTCTTTCTTCAATCCGACTACCCGCATATTTCTTCTTGATTTTCTTCTTTCTTTTCCCATATTTCTTTGCTGTTTCTCTTCCTTCAATCACATCTTTCCTTTTTCTTTTTTGTATTCAATTGTTATTTGACTTGATTCCATCTAAACTCCATTTTCTTTCTATCTTTATTTATTTAATAATTTTGGTCATTCCTTGATTATCTACTCTTTTTCTTCGTTCGTTCTTTCTTCCTTTCTTTCTTTCTCCCTTTTTGTCTTTCTCTATTTTTCCCTCTTTTTTTCTTCTTTACATTTACATTTCCTCCTTGTATGTTATTTATCTCTCCGTGATAGGGACTACACTTCTTACTTTTATTGTTTTCTTTGTTTGTTTTTCTTTCCTTTCTTTTCCTTCTTTCTCTCCTTTCTTTTCTTTCCTTTTTTTCTTTTTAAATTCCATCTTTCTTCTTATCATGCTGTTATACAATTTAGATGTGTAGATTTCTCTTTCTTATTTAAATTCATTCATTCAGTCAGTATTTTTCTCTTTTGCTACTTTCCTTTCTTTCCTTCCTTTTTTCTTTTCTTTCTTTCTTTCCTTTCTTTCTTTCTTTCTCTCTTTCTTTCTTTCTTTCTTTGCTTTCCTCTCTTTATTTTCTTTCTTTTCTATCTTTCTTTCCTTTCTTTCTTTCTTTTCTTTTTTCTTTCTTTTCCTTTCTTTCTTTCCATTCTTTTCTTTTGTCCTTTCTTTCTTTCTTTCTTTCTTTCTTTGCTTTCCTTTCTTTATTTTCTGCCTTTTCTATCTTTCTTTATTTTCTTTCTTTCTTTAATTTCTTCTTTCTTTTCTTTCTTTCATTCATTCAGACAGTCTTTCTCTCTTTTGTACTTTCCTTTCTTTGCTCTGTTTCTTTTCTTTCCTTCCTTTTATCTTTCTTTCCGTTCTTTTCTTTTTCCTTTCTTTCTCACTTTCTTTCTTTCTTTCTTTCTTTCTTTGCTTTCCTTTTTTTATGTTCTTTCTTTTCTATCTTTCTTTCCTTTCTTTTCTTTACTTTTCTTTCTTTCATTTCTTCTTTCTTTTCTTTCTTTTCTTTCTTCTTTCATAATGTCATTCTTTCATAATACTCATATTTGTATGTTTCTCTTTTTTATTTTAATTCATTCATTCAGCCAGTATATTTTTCATTATTTCTTTCTTTTCAACAACAATATGGTTACCTGGACATCTATTAGATCTGAAGTTCACTCCAGACATCAATCCAATGCTAAAGATGCCTGGAAAATAATTAAATCATTCTGTCTATTGCATGAAGTCCTTCTGCCATTTTTTTTTTTGTATGATTCAGATTAAGAGCAGAAATGTTGTATTACTGTTATATCTAAACTGGAGATTCACAAACGCAAATGATAGCCTTCAAAATGGTTTACTTGCTTGCGAGATAATATCTATTTCCCACTCCTCAGTCCTTTTGCCATAGACATCATGTTGCAATCCTGAAGCTACACTATCACTCAAAAAATTAATTTCATTCCACTAGTCAAGACATTTGCAGCTAGTATACACCATGCTACCTCCATCGAGTTGAATCACATTGATTTCCCCCGTATTCCAAATGTAAGAAAGTTCCAATCTGACAGCATTTTCCGTAAGAACCACTT